CCGTGAAGGGTCTGTGCAGAGGAGGATTATTATAAGAGGAAAGAAGGCCTCTTGGCGGTTGAGATAGAGAAAAGCATCTGTCTCCTGCCCGTCCCTGGGCAATGGAACATCTCGGTATAAAACTCGTTGTATGTTCTGTTTACTGAGAAAGGAGAAAACCGCCTTAGGGCTGAAGGTGGGACGTGCTAGTGCAATGCTGCTCTTTATGCACTAGAAAGGTTTATGGAGATGTTTGCCTATGCATATCAAGGCACAGCACTTTTCCTTAAACTTATGTCACAGAGATCTGTATTCATATGTCTTACTGCTAACCACCTCCCTACAATGATCCTACTATCCTGCCACTTCCTTTTTTCTACGATGGTAAAGATAATGATCAATAAATACTGAGGTAACTCAGAGACTGGTGCCGGCAAGGTGTGGGTCCTCTGTATGCTGAGCGCCGGGCCCTGGGCCCACTTTTTCTTTCTCTATACTTTGTCTCTGTGTCTCATTTCTTTTCTCAAGTCTCTCGTTCCACCTAACGAGAAACACCCACAGGTGTGGAGGGGCAGGCCACCCCTTCAACCGGAGGCTGAAGGGGCTTCGTAAGAACAAGCTGAATTGCAAAGGCAGAGCAGGTAAATGGAGGGGGGCGGGTCCTCACAGCCTCTTCAGGAGCTGAGTCAGAAAGAGTGCTTTGTTTTGTTTTGTTTGGGGACTTGATGTGGAAGAGGGACACCTGTACCCCCAGGCCAAGGTCATGTAGCCCAACTCTTACAGGGGGTCAAAGGAAGTGGGATGGGGTGTTCTAGAAGGCGCAGCTCTCCTATCTCTGGTGGGCTGCTTTTCAGATGTCTAAAAACAATGCTAGGTAAGAATAAAGGGCTGAGACACCTAAGAACAGATGTCATGTGACTCCACTGATGTGAGGTTTCTGGAAGAGGCAAATTCATACACACAGGTGGTAGAATGGTGGTGACCAGGGACAGGGAAGGAAGGAACAAGGAGTTAGTGTTCAGTGGGTTGGGGTTTCTGTTGGGGATGATGAAAAGATCCCAGAAATGGATGGTGGTGATGGCTGTACAACACTGTGAACATACTTCATACCACTGAACTGTGCACTTAAAAATGGGGAAAAGGGCACATTTGATGTTATGTGTATTTTACCAGAATTTAAAAAAGAAGGAAAAAAAAAAAAAAAAAAAAAGAAGAAAGGGCTGAGGGGCCTAGAGAGGCTGTGTGGGAGAACAATAGACCCAAGGCAGGGTGGGGCCCCAGCCTGGGGAGGAGGACGGTGTTGTGGTGCTGGTATTTCACAGTTCTTGAGGCCTGCGATTCATAGCTCGGTCCCACCCATGTGCACCTGAAGTTATTTGGAATCTAGGACTTAACTGTTTTCCAGTTGGCACATACCGCCAAGTCATACCACACAGCGCCAGTCCCTGCCCGCCTGCGTGCGCCTCCTCCCTGCCTCTCCTTGCTGCCTGGTGACTGAGGGAGGGACCCACAGAGTCAGCTGCGATCCTGTTCCCCTGCCTCCCCTTGCCAGGAGTGGCAGCCAAAGAGACAGGGCTGTCCCTCACTCATGCTACAGGACTCTGCAGGAGTCACGGAGCTCAGGGCAAGGAGATCTTCAAAAAGTCCAGCTCTGCTTCTGTTACCTTTTCTTCTCCTCTCTACCTGTCATCTAGTGCCATGATAATGCTGCAAACCAAACCACCTCAAATCTTGGTGGTTTAAACTAATAGCCATTTCTTTTTTCTCATGAGCCTAGGATTTGGCTGGGCAGCTCAGTTGGTCTCACCCAGGCTCACCCGTGTGTCTGCAGTCAGCTGAAGGCTGCTAGGATGGTGATATGGTTTGGCTGTGTCCCCACCCAAACCTCATCTTGAATTGTACTCCCATAATTCATACGTGTTGGGGGAGGGACCCAGTGGGAGATAATTGAATCATGGGGGTGGTTTCCCCCATACTGTTCTTGTGGTAGTGAATAAGTCTCACGAGATCTGATGGTATTATCAGAGGTTTCTGCTTTTACATCTTCCTCATTCTCTCTTTGCCTGCTGCCATCCATGTAAGATGCGACTTGCTCCTCTTTGCCTTCTGCCATGATTGTGAGGCTTCTCCAGCCACGTGGAGCTGTAGGTCCAATTAAAACTCTTTCTTTTGTAAATTTCCCTGTCTTGGGTATGTCTTTATCAGCAGCATGAAAATGGACTAACACAGATGGCCTTGGCTGGGAGGACTTAGCTCTGCTCCACATGGTCTCTCATGCTCCAGCAGGCTAGTCTGGGCTTGTTCTCATGGTGGAAGCTGTCAAAGAAAAACTGCACCAGACAGAGTTAAACAGGTAAGGGAAACTTTATTCAAGACTACTGCAATAGGAGAGAGAGATTAAACTCAACTTTGGATACAACAGAGGTAGCTAGGGATTTCTAGCCAATAGGCAGGGTGAAGGAGTCAATTTATCAAGAGGAACTTGTTAGGCATCAAGACTAGGGGTGATTTTTGCTAAACTGGCTTGGCAGAATTCTTACTGAACTAGGTTGAGCAGGCCAAGGACAAGGTCTTGGGGCTCTGAGGAGGAGGGCTCAGAGGAGTCTGTCTAAAGTTGGATCAAAGACGGAGTCCTCGTCAAAGCAGAAGTCCAATAGAACATGTGGAATGTACAACACTTCTTAAGGTCTAGACTACAAAACAGGCAGTACCACTTCTACTGTATTTATTGGCCAAAGCAAGTCACGAGGCTAGCCCAAGTCCAAGCAGTGGGGGAATGGCTTCATCACATTGTAAATGGCATGGGCAAAGGGAAGGGATGAAAAATGGGTCTATCAGGCCGGGCACGGTGGCTCAAGCCTGTAATCCCAGCACTTTGGGAGGCCGAGGCGGGCGGATCACAAGGTCAGGAGATCGAGACCATCCTGGCTAACATGGTGAAACCCCGTCTCTATTAAAAAATACAAAAAAAAACTAGCCGGGCGAGGTGGCAGGTGCCTGTAGTCCCAGCTACTCGGGAGGCTGAGGCAGGAGAATGGTGTGAACCTGGGAGGCGGAGCTTGCAGTGAGCTGAGATCCGGCCACTGCACTCCAGCCTGGGCGACAGAGCGAGACTCCATCTCAAAAAAAAAAAGAAAAAAGAAAAAAGAAAAATGGGTCTATCTTTCCAATCGATTTCCTACTCTCTTCTTGGGAAGACCCTCTTCCACTGATCAAAACCACTGGGCAGAATGTAGAGCCCCACCTACTCCCCCATCCTGACTTATCTGGTGCCCTGGCTGAGTACAGAAGGCTGAACCCTCCCAGAAAGGGCCTGGAAGGGAATTGGAACCCACACAACCTAGGGACTACATGTGCTAATGAGGTTCTCAAGACCAAAAGAAGGCAGAGAGTACAATGGGAGCTCAAGGAACACAAAGAATATAAGTCAGAGACTCAGTCTTTGGAAAAAGCAAAAGTCTGGCTTTCAGAAGTCAGTGTAGTGTCACACCAGGAGCAGAACAGCAATTTACTAGAAAGTATAGTCATCAAACTCTTCATGGCCATCATTTCCTGGGGGTTATACTCTTATATTTCCTGGGGGCTATAATTACTATAATCCATCATTTCCTAGGGGCTATCATTACTATAAATTAGTAATCAAACTAATAATGGCCATCATGCTGGGCGTGGTGCTAAATTGCTACACATGAAATCATGTCTAATATGATTAAAATAGCCATGGTATTATAACTCCCATTTTTATCATTAAGAAAATTAGGGCTGGGTGTGGTGGCTCATGCCTATAATCCAGCACTTTGGGAGGCCGAGGTGGGAGGATTGCTTGAGCTCAGGAGTTCGAGGCCAGCCTGGGTAACATGGTGAGATCTCAACTCTACTAAAATAAAAAAAAAATTAGCTGGGTGTGGTGGGGCTCACCTGTGGTCCCAGCTACTCATAGGCTGAGGTGGGAGGATCACTTGAGCCTGGGAGTTTGAGGCTGCAGTGAGCTGTGATTGTGCCACTGCACTCCAGCTTGGGTGACAGAGCAAGACCCTGTCTCAAAAAAAAAAAAAAAATTAAATTAAATTAAAATTAAGAGAAAAGGAGAAAGGGTTGGAGGTGCGTGGTCTGGCTGATCTGGCAGTGCCTTTGTCTCCTCAGAGATTCAGACCCCTTCAGCTTCTGCTCCACTATCCTTAGACCACAGCTTCCAACTTCAAAGTTGCCTCAAGGATCAAGGTGGATGCTAGAACTCTAGCTATCACATCTTCAATCCAGGTGAGAAGCAGGAAGAAGATAGAGAAAAGGGCCTCTTCTACCTATCTGAGACTCTTCTAAGGAACTGTCCCCAGCATCTCCCCCATCAGCTTCTGCTTATATCTCACCAGTCAGAACTTGTTCATATAAACTGCAAGGGCTGCAAGGGATGCTGGGAAAGGCAATCTGTTAACTGGACACATAGCTTCTTAAATAAAATCAGACTTCTGCTACTGAGTGCTATGAGTCCCCTAAAAATATATGCTGGAGTCCTAACTCCCAATATCTCAGAATGTGACCTTATTTGGAGATAAGGTCTTTATGGAGGAAATCAAGTTAAAATGAGGTCCTTAAGGTGGGACCCTAGTGCTTCTAGGAAGGGAAAATAGGACACAGAGGCACATAGAGAAGGAAAACGACATGGAGACACAGGGAGGAAACATCATCTACAAGGCAAGGAGACAAGCCTGGAAATAGCCCTCCCTCACAGCCCTCAGAAGGAATTAGCCCTGCTGAAGCCTTGAATTTGGATTTCCAGCCTCCAGAACTGTAGTAATAATAAATGTCTGTGGTTATATAGAGAGAGACACATATATATATATATAGGTAAAATATATTTAGTATCATATATATACATATATATATTCCCCCCCTCCTTAAATACAGACAGGATCTTACTATGTTTGTTGCCCAGGCTGGTCTTGAACTCCTGGGCTCAAGTGATCCTCCCACCTTGGCCTCCTAAAGTGCTGGAATTACAGGTGCGAGTCACTGCGCCCAGGCAATTTCTGTTGTTGAAGTCACCAAGTTTGCAGTTCTTTGTTACGGCAGCCCTAGGAAATGAATCCAGTCAGGAAGAGGAGGGAGTGCATGGTGATAAGCAGTGGGCATCTGTGCACAGGGCCCAGAGCCACACACCAGACCCTGCACTGCAGGCAGCAGGGCTGAGCTTGTGCCTGCAGATGGGCCTTGGCCGGGTTGGGCATGTGTGCATGCAGTGGACTGCACAGGTGGGGACCAAGCCCAGCACCAGCAGACTGCTTTCTGAGACCTCTGTCCATTGGGTCTGCTCCTGCCCTGGGGTGAGGTTATTAACGGGTCTCCACTGTGAGACCAAGGCTGTGGCTGGGTACTGAGGCTGAGGCCGGCAGTTCTCAAGGCCACTCTCCACTCTGTCCCCTGCTTCCCTTCCTCTTGTCCTGTGTGTACCTGAATCTGTCCTGTCAGAGTGGCTTCCTCTACCAGCCATGTCTGTAATCTTTTGCTGGGACAGAATGCTTCCCTCGAGTGGATATTTCAGAAGTAGTTGCTACACACATGAACGCGATACAACAATTTTGACTTGGCTGTATCTTCAAGATCTCTGGGGAGAAGACGACAGCTGCCAAGAGCTAAAAGCTTAAAGTGGGGCCACCTGACAATGGTGACCACTTTACTCTCCCCTGTCCACCTTCACCACAAAATGCGACCCAAACACTTTATTCCCCAAAGCACAGGCCACAGGCAACAGGAGACTGTCATGCATAACAGACTTGACTAAAGGCCTGAGGATAACAGGGCGGTAGCTGAAAAATAAAACCTAAACCCGGCTACCAGGGTTCTGGAAGTGTTGACCATGCCCCTCCTGTTGCCCCTCTCTGGAGCTCCCTCACCTATCTCCAGCTTCCAGGGTCCCTTAGTCCCACCCCCAATTTTTCCATGCCCTGCGTGGAGGACTCCCACCCGCCCCTCTCCCCACCCCCAGGTAGGGAAGGCAGCTTTTAATAGAGGTACATGAACCACTTAAAAACCTCAGCCTAACACAAAAGCCCACACATTGTACAATCCTGTGCATATGAAATCTCCAAAACAGGCCAATCCATAGAGACAGAAAGTGGATTTGTGGCTGCCTAGGTCAGTGGAAGGGAGGAGGGTGGGATGACAACGGGTATGGGGGTTCTTTCTGAGGTGAAGAAAATGTTCTACAATTAGTGATAATGGTTGCAGAATTCTGTGAATATACTAAAAACTACAGAATTTAAAGTATACTGAATTGTACACTTTAAATGGGTACATCTTAGGGCATGTGGATTATATTTCTATGAAGCTATTATTTATTTATTTTACTCTTTTTGAGACAAGATCTCGTTCTGTCACCCAGGATGGAGTGCAGTGGCACAAACAGAGCTCACTGCAGCCTTGACCTCCTGGACTTGAGTGATCCTCCCACCTCAGCCTCCCAAATAGCTGGGATCACAGGCATGCACAATCACGCCCAACTAATTGTTTTTAACTTTTAGTAGAGATGGGGTTTCACCAGGTTACTCAGGCTGGCCTCGAACTCCTGAGCTCAAGCAATCTGCCTGCCGTGGCCTCCCCAAATGCTGGGATTACAGGAGTGAGCCACCGTGCCTGGACAAAGCTGTTATTTTAAAAACATCTCTGTGTGTCTAAGAAGACACAGGGCCTCCCTGAGAACAGGGAGGTGTGTTTGCTTTAAGTCTACAATCACAAAGAGAGTCACCAGAGTTGTTCCTGCCAGAACCAGAGAGATTATGCCTCGAGGACAACTCAGCACAATGGGCCTGCAGCCTCCAGCGACAGGAGTGGCTGCTTGGGCCGGTGGCAGAACAGCCCTGCTAGACAAAGCGCAGACACCTGTAACAAAGACCAAAAAAACCTCAAAAAGAACCCCCATTCCTGTTGCATCCAATCTGCATCTGATGAAAGAAGGAATGAGGAAATAAATGAAGGGCTGATTGAAATAACTTTCCAGGATGGTGAGAATGCCTGGGACAGAACCCTGGTTCCATCTCCCACTTAGAGGAGCCCTTTTCACTAACAGCTCCACTTAACTTCTATTTGCCATGCAAATCAACTGGCCCAGGTGAGTGGTGCCTGCATTGACTCCTGAAATCCCAAGGACTTCCACGGCTCCCGAGGCTCAATCAGGGCACAAAGCCGCATATGCAGACACTTTGCCTTGGCTAATCCTGTGGGCCTTTCACAGAGCAGGAAATCAATGACTCAAATATTCCTTTTGGCTCAGACAACTGCTTAAATGAGACTTTACCCTCTCGGCCAAGGAAGTTGGGTGGCAAGGGAGTTTCTTCAGACTCCTCCCCAGTTGATCCTGGATAGAACTGGCCTAGGTTTATAAGCCATTGTTTGTTTTACTTAGGGTAAACCACTGCGAGTCCGGCCACTGAAAATCAGCTGACAGCAGGAGCAAAGATTCGCTCGGCTCACTGGGGAGCGCGGAATGTCTGCCATCCCTGAAATGTTTCCAGAATAGAGGGAGCCTTGCGCAAGCGCCAGAACGGCTTGGCCTCCCCAGTGGTTTGCTGATGGGTCCAAGGATCCGGAGCTACCAGGCAGCCAATGCCTGGGCCAAGCACCAGCACCCCGGAGCCCCGAAGTGAGGGCTGTCCACGGGGAGCTTGTCTCCTCTGGTTTGTCCACAACCCAGTGACCCCAGGGTAGGGGTGGGCATGGGGGACTATGCCCAGAAACAACCTGGCACAAGGCGAGGTGAGAGGGAGGGCTGGTTTTGGAAACCACTTTAGAATCTTGGCCTAGTAATGCAGAATGCACGACCTTGGGGAAGTGTCCTACCCTGTCAGGAGCTTGCAGGCCTCATCTGTGTGCTGGCCCCTTTAGGGTCATGAGTAGGTAACACACAGATAGGAGGCACCTGCACTGTGCAGGGTAGGCGCTGTAAATCAAAAATAACATCCTAAGCCCTCCAACTGACTGAGGGGACCCCAGAGAAACCTGAGAAACTGAATTCCCAGCCTTGGCGGGAAAGGAGGTCGAACACGCCTTGTTACACCCCCTCCCTTTTGGAATTTAGGTACAACTGACCAGCATTCACATTAAAACAGAGATCATAACATTACCAGAAAGGGGTCCTGATCCAGACCCCAAGAGAGTGCTCTTGGACATCACACAAAAAAGAATTCGGGGCAAGTGCATAAAATGAAAGCAAGTTTATTAAGAAAGTAAAGGAAGGCTGGGCACGGTGGCTCACACCTGTAACCCCAGCACTTCAGGAGGCCAACGTGGGAGGATTGCTTAAGCTCAGGAGTTGGAGATCAGCCTGAGTGAGACCCTATCCCTACCAAAAAAAAAAAAAAAAAAAACAAAAACAAAAAAATTAGCCAGGCTTGGTGGTGCATGTCCCAGCTACTCAGGAGGCTGAGGTGGGAGGATCGCTTGAGCTGGGGAGGTTGAGGCTGCAGTGAGCTCAGATTGCACCACTGCACTCTAGCCTGGATAACACAGAGACCCAGTCTCAAAAAAAAAAAAAAAAAAAAGAAAAGAAAGTAGGCCAGGCACGGTGACTCACGCCTCTAATTCCAGCACTTTGGGAGGCCGAGGTGGGTGGATCACCTGAGGTTGGGAGTTCGAGTCCAGCCTGACCAATCTGGAGAAACCCCGTCTCTACTAAAAATAGAAAATTAGCCAGGTGTGGTGGCGCATGCCTGCAATCCTAACTACTCGGGAGGCTGAGGCAGGAGAATCACTTGAGCCTGGGAGGCGGAGGTTGTGTTGAGCCGAGATTGCGCCATTGCATTCCAGCCTGGGTGACAGAGCAAGACTCCGTCTCAAAAAATAAAAAGGAAAGGAATAAAAGAATGGCTACTCCATAGACAGAGCAGTGGCATGGGCTGCTCAACCGAGTATACTTGTAGTTACTTCTTGATTACATGCTAAACAAAAGGTGGGTTATTCATTAGTTTTTCAGGAAAGAGATGGGCAATTCCCCCTGCACTGAAGCTTCCTCCCCTTTGGACCATATAGAGTAACTTCCTGACGTTGCCATTGCGTTTGTAAACTGTCACAGTGCTGGTGGGAGTGTGTGTTAGTATGCTAATGCATTATAATTAGAGTCTAACAAGCAGTGAGGACAACCAAAGGTCACTTTCATTGCCACCTTGGTTTTGGTGGGTTTTGGTGGGTTTTGGTGGGCTTCTTTACCGCGTCCTGTTTTATCAGCAAAGTCCTTGTGACCTTATCTTGTGCTGACCTCCTAACTCATCCTGTGACTAAGAACACCTGGGCTCCTGGGAATGCAGCCCAGTAGGCTTAAGCTTTATTTCACCATCTATTCTCTCTGAAGGCTGCTACTTATGAGGCTTCATCTATATAACAAGAATCTGGACCCCCACAATTCCCCTTATCTTAATGCAAGCATTTCTTTCTACTGACTTGAAGTCTTGGGACGAAGCTTAACCCTTTCAACGCGTTGCCAATCGGAAAATCTTTGAATCTACCTATGACCTGTAAGTTGTCCTGCCTTTCTGGCTGAACCAACGTACACCTCCCATGTACGGGTTTTTGTCTTTGCCTCTAACATCTGTCTCCCCATCATGTATATAAAACCAAACTGTAACCCAACTGCCTTGGGATCACTTTCTCAGGACCCCTTGAGGCTGCTCCCCAAGGCCCAGTCACTCATATTGACTCAGAATAAACCCTCTTTAAAACATTTTACAGAGTTTGGTTTTTCCATTAACCACGCTGGCAAATGTTATTTCCCGTCCCTACATTCAATCACACCCTGGGCTGGTGCCACCTACCTTCCGCCGCATTCCTGGAACATGATTGGCCTTCTCCACCTCTTGGTGGACTTGGTCCCGTCTACTCAGCCTTTCTGAACCCGAGCTTCCTGTGGGGGAGGCAGAATGCTGTGAGAGTTAAGAGGCAGGGGATGCCTGGGCAGACGGCCCCTTTAGCCAGTCAAGGACCTTCAGGAAGGCGCTGACCTCCTGTATTTGTCTCCTCCACAAAATGAGACTAATACATGTCCATCAGAGGCCCCTGGAGAGGATGAAGTGAGATGCCACCTGGGCAAAGCATGGGAGGCCCGGAGCCAGTCCGGTGATGGGCCTCACAGTTAGAGAGTGCACCTTCCCTCCCGGCACTTCCTCAGCACCTCCCACAGGTTTCATGCCCCTGAAACTAACCGTGGGGTCTACTGCAAGTCTGCCTATCTTCTCTCCTGTGCCAGACTTAGAGCATCCCAGAGCCAGCCAGCAAGGGTGTGCGCAGGGCCGATGGGGGCCTGATTGCCCTGGCCTCCCAGAACCAACAGCAGGGAAGGCGGTGGTGTCTGCCTGTGGGGTTCCTGGACTTCGCCCATGTGTCCCCTAAAGCATATCTCACTCAGTCACCCTTCACCTGAATTCTACAGCCCGGAGAGGCCCTCAGACTTCAAGGAGAACAAATCCCCCATACTATATGCTAAGCCGGTGTGTGTGATTCTGCACATTTTGGAAGAGAAATTCCTCACCTTCTATCAGCTCCTCAGGAGAATCCATCTTTGTCTCCCTTTTCTGCCTTATCGCCTTAAAAGCATTTAACTCACTCTGAAATTCTTTTTTTTTTTTTTTTTTTTTTTCCAAAGTCACCACAGCAGGATGGAGTCTCACTCTGCCCAGGCTGGAGTGCACAGTAAGTATTGATGACCTTCTCTTAATCCTCCACCATCTTTCAGGTTTCGGCGATTCTTCTTGCCCTCTTTCTCAAAGTGGCTACTTGCGGGATTGCAGGTGCCACCTATATACTACCTGGCTAATTTTTTTTGTATTTTTAGTACTGAAGCTTTTTTTGAGATGGAGTCTCACTCTCTCCCAGGCTGGAGTGCAATGGCGCATCCTTGACCCACTGCAATCTCCACCTCTTGGGTTCAAGCGATTCTTCTGCCTCAGCCTCTCAAGTAGCTGGGATTACAGGTGCCTGCCACCACACCTGGCTAATTTTTTTTTGTATTTTTTAGTAGAAACAGGGTTTCAACACATTGGCTAGGCTGGTCTCGAACTCCTGACCTACGGTGATCCACCCGCCTTGGCCTCTGAAAGATCTGGGATTACAGGCATGAGCCACCACACCCGTCATTTTGAAATTCTATTCCCCTGTTTGTTGCCTGTCTCTGCCACTAGAAAGTAAGTTCCAGGAGGGCTCATCTCATTCGTGGTTATATCCTCAGATCCTAAAACAGAGCCTGGCACTCAGAAGGTCTCAATATCTTTTGAATGAATGAATGATGTACTTTGAGCCAATGGCTAAGGGCTGTGGGTCCTGCCCTGCAATGGGGTCTGAACAAGGCATGGACCGTCCGTGGGGTCTTCCTCCGAGGACAGCGTCTGGGCTGAGGTCAGCTGCAGCAGAGAACGGTACTCCTAGAATCAGAGTCTAGACAGGGGAGGGGCTCAGAGTCCAGACTGGATCTGCCTGAGAAGAACAGAGTTCAAGGGTCTCAGAGGGCAGCCCACTTATGTTAGTATCTTGCAGAAAGAGCAGGACGGTGGGCCTCAGCTCTATTTTCTATTGTTGCATAACATGCTGTCCCAAAACTTACTGGCTTAAAATGATTTTACAGTATCTCATGCTTTTGTGGCAGGTTTTCATTCAGGGACTGCTGGGCAGGGTGATTCTTCTGCCCCATGTGGCACTGACTGAGGTCACCTGATGGCACTCGGCTGGCAGATGGGCTGGTATGGAAGACCCTGGATAGCCTCCTTCATGAGTTGAGTGGTTTGGCAAGACGGCTGCAAGGCTGGGCTCAGTGGGGCCTGTCTCCTGGAGCGCCCACGCCTGGCCTCTCCTGCACAACAGCTCAGGGGTCCTGAGGCAGTCAGAAGACCAAGGCAGACACTGCAAGGCTACTTTGACCCGGCCTTGGCAGTCACATAGCACCATTTCCATCACACCTTATTGGCTACAGGCAAGGCGCAGAGCCAGCCCAGACCCAAGGGAAATGAACAGAACTGTAGAGCAGCATGAATACCACTGGGATGGAGGCAGGGTATCTTTGGAGACAAGTCACCACTGCCTCTCTCCGGGCTGGGCTCAGGGACACAGCCTGAAGCCAGGGACATTGGGTGGGGCCAGGAGAAGCCCAAAAGTCTCAGCCCTTTGACTGGCTTTCCCCAGAACAAGGATCAAAGGACCATTAAGTAACCTCAAATGAGTCCTAACCACTTGAACTTCCTGCCAATTCCATATCCTATTTCAATACTTTGTCCAAGGCAACTTCTCAATAGAGATGTCATGTTCCAAGCGTGACTAACCACTTACGGTATTACCTGCTTGTGCTTTCACCCCGATCTGTGACTGTACTCCTTTTTTTGGGCATGCAGACCCAGTGAAAAGAATGGTGTCCTCTCATGACACTGCCTCTCAGGGTCCAGAAGCTGCAGATTTTCCTTCAACCTTCGAGCTCCTCAGCTATCTGAACATGCCATTGCCTGAAAACAAACTGAGAACCAACAAACAGTGGCTATGTGCTCTGGAAACACTCAGAGTGATAGTTCAGGTGAGAGCAGTGCCATTTCCCAAGTGCTCCTGGTTGCTCCAACCCCATCCACGAAGAGTCTCAGACAGAACCCGAGGGAGGAGGCCGGGGAAAGAAACTGGGACATGCTGGGAAGGCAGTTGCAGAGCAGGCCACGGACCCTGTCCGGTGGCAAAGGGAAGGAGCGTGGCCTTCAGGAAGAGTCATACATCACCTCAGAGATGTGAGGAATCCACACCTCAGCACTTCTTGCAGAACTGACAACCCCTGTGAGACACGGGGACCTCATTCCTCCTTCTCAACAAAACTCTCCAGCATGAAGGTTCAAAGCATGGGCTTTGAATAACCTGGGTTGGAGTCCCAGCTGGGTGGGCCTGGAAAAGTTACTGAATCTTTTCGATCTCCTTGGTAAAATGAAGAGAATGTCCCATGCACTTATTGGGAAGAATCAACGACAGGAAGCCTGGAGAGTACCTAGCACAGTGCTTGGCATGAAATAGGCATTAGTAACTATAATCTTAAATATGATTATTGGGTCAGTAACCCCAGCAACCACCACCAACAGCCCCTTCTTTTGCCACTTCCCTGGCCCCAGTGTAGATGAACTGCTCTAAATCAGCAATAAGGCCAGGCGCGGTGGCTCACACCTGTAATCCCAGCACTTTGGGAGGCCGAGGCGGGCGGATCACTTGAGGTGGGGGGTCGGGACCAGCCTGAACGACATGGTAAAACCCCATCTCTACTAAAAAAAAAATACAAAAGTAGCCGGGTGTGGTGGTGCATGCCTGTAATCCCAGCTACTTGGGAGGCACAGGTAGGAGAATTGCTTGAACCCGGGAGGCAGAGGTTGCAGTGAGCCGAGATCGCGCCATTGCACTCCAGCCTGGGCAACAAGAGCGAAACTCCATCTCAAAAATAAATAAATAAATAAAAATAAATCAGCAATGACCAACAGACATACCTTGGGAGCCACATCTATGAACTCAGATTTTCTAGCAGTCACATTACAAAAGATAAAGGGAAACAAGAGAAAGTAATTTTGATAGTATATTTTATTTAGCCCAATATATAAAAAAAATTATTTTAACTTGTAATCAATAGAAAAATGATGTGATATCTTACATTCTCTTTAAAAAACATTAAGTCTTTGAAATCAGTATGTTCTTACACTTACAGCCCATCTGAATCTGGCCCAACCACACTCCAGTGCTCCAAAGCCACAGGTGGCCAGGGGCATCCGCACTGGACAGCACAGGGCTAGAGGCACTGGGTAGGCCCTTCCCTGTTCCAAGCTCAGTGGCCTGGATGTGGGCAGAAAGAGGAGTCTGGATCTGGGTTTAAGCTACAAGAACTCCCTCCCCAGGGGTAACACAAATATTTTCTGTAATACTCCCCTGCCAGGATTGAAGAGAATAGAAAGAAAGGCAAACGAAAGAAAATAAATGATTTATTTTTCCTTTATTATCATTTTTAGAGACAGGGTTTGGCTCTGCTACCCAGGCTAGAGTGCAGTGGCACAGTCATGGCTCATTGCAACCTTGACCCCTGAGCTCAAGCAATCCTCCTGCCTCAATCTCCTGAGTAACTGGGAGTTATAGGTATGTGCCACCATGCCTGGCTGATTTTTATTTTTTATTTTTGTAGCGATGGAGTCTCACTGTGTTGCCCAGACTGGTCTCAAACTCCTGGGTTCAATCAGTCCTCCCACCTCAGCCTCCCAAAGTACTGGGATTACAGGCTTGAGCCACCATGCCTGGTCCTTATTTTTCTTTATATCCACAGCAGATAAGTAATAATAAACCATTGTACACAACCTTGCCTCTCCTAATAGAAAACACATTCTTTATTTATACCAATAAAAAAGCCCCAAAATCCCAAAGCTCTGACTGGGGTCCAGCGAGGATTAAGGTCATCAGGTGCCAAACAGGACCCAAGGGCAAAGGGACAGTGTGGGGTTACCTGGAGACTCCCTGTGCAGAAAATGGGAGCTCAGGACTACAGTGAGGAGGCCACTCCACTGTTCAGGTCTTTGGGCTCACCCTCCATTCAGTGCTGAACACGTGAACTTGGTCATAGAAGATGGTGGTTAAAGCTTGAATAAAAAGGCCCAAGAACCAATAGAAATGGAAGGAAACTGATAGCATACTGACGAAATGCCTTATCCTCTGCCTCTTGCTGATGTCAATGTAAGAAAAGATCTGAGATTTTAAGAACAACGGGCAGGGGGCAACATAGTGAGACCCCATGTCTACAAAGAACAAAAAATTAGCTGGGTGTAGTGGCACGTGTCTGCAGTCCCAGCCATTTGGGAGGCTGGGGTGGAAGGAGGTTGAGGCTGCAGTGAGCTGTGACTGTACCACTTTACTCGAGCCTGGGTAACACAGTGAACCCCTATCTCAAGCAAATGAAACAAAACAAACAAATAAACAAAAAAACAAACAGGACGCTGAAAGACGATTCAAACAACCAAACAGCACCAAAAAAATACGGACTTACTAGAGAACCATTTGAAAAAGGATCTAAAACTTCTCGGCAGAAGCTTTTGGGGCCAGTGATGCTGGAAAGAGGACTGGGTTTGAACTGCATGGCTCTTTGCAGTCATCAGAACCTCCATTTGCTTAAATGGCACTTGGAAAGACAGGTATAAAATGACACTTGGACACATGCCACTTTCTGCAAGTGGAAAAGAACTGGTCTCCGTTTTACAGAGTTTTATGGGAGCAAGAGAATAAGGACAATTCTAAACCCAGATTTTCTATTTGATCCTCAGTCTCTAGAAAGTTTGACATCCTCGATGAAGAACAAAAATAAGTTGAACATGGACACAGGGAGGGGAACAACGTATACTGGGGCCTGTCTGGGGGTGGGGAGGGAGGGAGAATATTAGGAAAAATAGCCAATGCATGCTGGGCTCAATATCTAGGTGATGGGTTGATAGATGCAGCAAACCACCAAGGCACACACTTACTTATGTAACAAACCTGCACATGTAGCCCAGAACTAAAAATAAAAAAAAAAATTTAAACGAAAAAAACAAGTAGAGACTCTTCAAAATGAGAGGGTATGTCAGGCAGCTACTATTATTTTTCCTTCAAATTAATAAGTGTCAGGTACCTGTTTAATCAGCTGGAGGTTAGAAAAAAATAATACAAATATTTTTCATGGAAACAAACAACAAGACAAAACAACAACAAAAGTAAGTTGAAAGCCATGTGTGTTAAGGTCACTCATAGCATTTTCACCTTACATGAGAAGCGGAGACCAGGAAAAGGCAAGGGCATGAATTTAGGGTACTCAAGTTCCAAATACACGAATCCATTGCTATTTGTTTCTTTTTCTCTTTCTTTTCTCAACAAGTTGGGGAACACATGCAGAAGCAACAACAGCCACCGACTGAGCTGACGGTATTCCCCATGGGGCTGAGTATGGGCATGCGTATTTCCCGGATGCCAGGGCAGGGGTCTCCATCAATACATGGGTATTCAACACTACGGGGCCTGGCTCCCTGCTTGAGGAGGACTCATGGGTCACCCTGAATGGCCCACACTCTCTGACACCTGGCAGAGTGGTCAAGTATTTGAAACATCTCTTAGGAACAGAAATATTTAGAGTTAGTCATTATTTTCTTAAACTTTCTTGGTGGGTTCAGAAACAAGTGACCATTTTGTGTAAATTCATTTATGTCGGAACAATGAGAACACATGGACACAGGGAGGGGAACATCACACACCGGGGCCTGTCGGGGTGTGGGGGTAGGGGAGGGATAGCATTAGGAGAAATACCTAATGTAGGCGACGGGTTGATGGGTGCAGCAAACCACCATGGCATGTGTATACCTATGTAACAAACCTGCACGTTCTGCACATGTACCCCAGAACTGAAAGTATAATAATAAACAAAAGAAAAAAAAGTTCATTTATTTTGACTCCTACAAAGGCAAGGAATAGGGTTTCTGTTGTTGTTGTTGTTGTTGTTGTAGTTGTTTTTGAGACAGTCTTGCTCTGTTGCCCAGGCTGGAGTGCAGTGGTGTAATTTTGGCTCACTGCAACCTCCACCTACCAGCTTTAAGCAATTCTCCTACCTCAGCCTCCCGAGTAGCTGGGACTACAGGCATACAATACCACATCAGGCTAATGTTTTTGTATTTTTAGTAGAGATAGGGTTTCACCATGTTGGCCAGGTTGGTCTTGAACTCCTGACCTCAGGTGATCTGCTTACCTCGGCCTCCCAAAGTGCTGGGATTATAGGCGTGAGCCACTGCGCCTGACCAGGAATAGGGTTTTAATACAATTTTTCATCTGGCCTGAAAAATATACTTCAGTGTTAATGATTTGAAATCTCTGAGATATCAGGGAATGAAAGGGATTAAAAGCTTTTTTTTTTTTTTTTTTTTGAGACGGAGTCTCGCTCTGTCGCCCAGGCTGGAGTGCAGTGGCCGGATCTCAGCTCACTGCAAGCTCTACCTCCCGGGTTTACGCCATTCTCCTGCCCCAGCCTCCCGAGTAGCTGGGACTACAGGCGCCCGCCACCTCGCCCAGCTTGTTTTTTGTATTTTTTTAGTAGAGACGGGGTTTCACTGTGTTAGCCAGGATAGTCTCGATCTCCTGACCTCGTGATCTGCCCGTCTCGGCCTCCCAAAGTGCTGGGATTACAGGCTTGAGCCACTGCGCCCGGCCGGGATTAAAAGCTTTAAGAAATAGAAATATAAATATGTATGTGTGTGTGTATACATATACTGTTTATTTTTTTGCCCAGGGAAGACATCTGTCAGTGCTCATAAACCCTGTTTCCTCTGGTGACAAGTCAGTACCAGCTTACCCTAATGGTTGGCAAAAAAAGGACATGCAGAATTCAATGCAACACACATCCTGACAAGTTTATAAGGACCACGAGAAGTTTAGAGGCAGGAAATGAATACTAACATCAACCACAAAAGTAACATCACTCACTCCAGAGTTTAAAATGCTGGTACACAGGTGAGGGTAGGCCTTAGGCAAGCCAGCATGACAGCAAAGGACGGACGGACCCAGAGAAGACTCCAAGGATGTAAAATCACGAACGAAACAAAACATACAACCAAGACTCACCATAAAAATGGTAACTGTGTGAGGTAATGCATTTGTTAGCTAGATTTAACACTCCCAAAGCATTGTGTTGTGCATAATAAATGCATACTGTTTTGTCTGTCAATTTAAAAATAAAAATGAGAAAGGCCAGGTGCAGTGGCTCATGTCTGTAATCTCAATACTTTGGGAGGCCGAGGTGGGAGGACTGCTTGAGCCCAGAAGCTTCAGACCAGCCTGGGCAACACAGTGAGATCCCCATCCCTAAAACAATAAAAATAGAAAAAAATGAGCCAGGTGTGGCAGTGCACACCAGCTCCTCTGGATGCTGAGGCAGGAGGATGGCTTGAGTCTAGGAGGTCAAGGCTGTAGTGAGCTGTGATCGTACCACTGCGCTTCAGCCTAGGCAACAGAGTGAGGCCCTGTCTTTAAAAAATAATAATAGGCCGGGCGCGGTGGCTCAGGCCTGTAATCCCAGCACTTTGGGAGGCTGAGACGGGCGGATCACGAGGTCAGGAGATCGAGTCCATCCTGGCTAACACGGTGAAACCCCGTCTCTAGTAAAAAATACAAAAAAATAGCCGGGCGAGGTGGCGGGCGCCTGTAGTCCCAGCTACTCGGGAGGCTGAGGCAGGAGAATGGCGTAAACCCGGAAGGCGGAGCTTGCAGTGAGCTGAGATCCGGCCACTGCACTCCAGCCCGGGCGACAGAGCGAGACTCCGTCTCAAAAAAAAAAAAAAGAAAATAATAATAATAAATAAAAATTTTAAAATTTTAAAAATGAAAAAAAAGAAAAAAGAAAAAGACAACCAAACCCCTTAGGCCCACTACCTCACACCGAAAGCAGTGTTTGGGAGACAGCATGTGGCATCCAGAGGTGTGGAGCTCAGTCGAGGACAGTAGAGCCAGTCCGTGAAATCCTGTACTTCCTGTTTCTGCAGAACCAGCTTCCAAATGGGAAGATGTAATAGACCGCTCCTCTGCAGCGACCTGCAGACCCCCAGAAAGGGCACTCCTTGAAGCAGCAGGGCCTCGGCCTCATCAGCCACCACCACATTCACGTAGGCGAGGGCGATGGCGCTGCCCACTGTCCTTGCGTTCCTCTTTCCGACACATTCAACAGGGAGCTATGAGACCAGGGGCGATGTTCTCCCGCAGCAGCTGGTGAGTCTCCTTCTCTTGACCGTCTTGTTCAGGAGCCCTTCCGCTCTGAGAAAACCAGCAAGGCCTCTCCAAGTGCACCAAGCAGGACGCTGCAAACAGCAGCAGAAGGTCAGCTCTCCACTCCCCCGGGACCCCTGAGCTGCCTGGCGCCCACATACACAGGGCAAGGGGTGCCTCCCCTCATTCTGCAACTGTGACTCATCACCAGCCCGGACTGCCATGCTTCCAGGTCAAGCCCAGGAATCGCTCCAATCACTGGGGGTAGACCTCGGGTACACATGGGAGGTGAGAAGGCTGGGAGGCGGGCTCGAAACCTTCCCTCGGGGAAGTAGGTGAAGCATCCCACACATCCCGACTCGGTGAGGGTGAGCACTTGGGTTAGTGCTCTCTGGCAGAAACACAGACTTCCGGCAGGAGCGATCCTATAGACGCCTCTGGTGCTGTTGGCAAATTGGGCTGAGGCATACGAAATCACACAGGTATCCATATTCTTAAAATTAAGGTGACAATCTCAGAATCTTTTCATTTCATGTAAACTACAGAACATTTAAAGGTGAAAATACAAGTGGGGAATCATCATTTTCCCACCAGCACAGAAAGACACATGGCCAGTGATCTGAAAATGAAAAAGCAGTGGGAGAACTGGAGACAGTGAGGGAAGAAGAGCTGAATATTTTAACATCCCTCAAATGTAATACAGCCAAAGTCCTCTCCACTTTCTATTTTGAACCTCGCCACAGACAGTCTATCTGAATTCTGTCAGTCTTCTGGGGCCTGTGCTGGGCCATCATCAAGGGGCTATGGTGGTAGGTGTCTGATGGGGAGAGCCCTTTTTCAGAGGTGCCAACGGCCCTTTTGGTCAGACCCTTTCCTTCCCTTCTTCTCTCATCTGCCTACCCAGCACCCCAATCCTTCATACGCTCACTCGCAACACACACCCAGGCCATGGTGCCTTCGTATCTTGAATGTTTGTTGTGCTGAGTGTATGACACACACATAGGCTGTCCATGCTACACACCTGGTGGAAAATGTTCCTTTGGTGGGTGACCCTGACATACAAGTAACACACACCATTTTCCACTTTAGTACAGGAATGAATTGACTATGAGTGGGAATATAAAAACAATATGCTTTAGGCGCCGGGCGCGGTGGCTCATGCCTGTAATCCCAGCACTTTGGGAGGCCAACGTGGGCAGATCACAAGGGCAGGAGATCGAGACCATCCTGGCTAACAAGATGAAATTCCGTCTCTACTAAAAATACAAAAAATTAGCCGGGCGTGGTGGCGGGAGCCTGTAGTCCCAGCTGCTCAGGAGGCTAAGGCAGGAGAATGGCGTGAACCTGGGAGGTGGAGCTTGCAGTGAGCCGAGATTGTGCCACTGCACTCCAGCCTGGGCAACAGAGCGAGACTCCGTCTCAAAAAAAAAAAAAAAAAACCAAAAAACCAATATGCTTTAGAATCAGGCCAATTCAAGCTCTGACGCAGGCATTTGTTAGCTGATCTTGTGTATGTTTCCAGCCTTAGTCTCTCCATCTGCACCATGGGAGATGATCGCATCTAATAGTCTCTGTGAGGCTTAGAAATAACACATCAGAAGCAACCCACCCCTGTGTTTAGCCTATGATAGACAGTCACTAACATAGGATTATTAATATTTTCTAGCCGACTGCCCTCTGAGAGTAGCAATCCCCTCCTCCGTGGTCCTCCTGGTGGGCCACCCAACTTCTGCCTGAAGACTTCTAGTGAGGGGCATGTCCTGTTGAGCAAGGCGAGCCTGTCCCACGGATGAGTGGCTCTGGTCAATTAGATTCACATGCATCTCCATGGGCATCTCACTTGTGGAAGCCACTGGGGTTGGCAGGGACTGGCTGAGACATGTTCCTTCCCCATGCTGACCCAGGCAGCCCTTCATCACACTAACTCTACAGCAGAAATTTCTTACAACCTCGCCTGCGAGGCCAAGGCTGCTCTCCAGAGCTAGAGAACAAATGTACTCCTTCATCAGCTTGGAGACTAGGAGAATCCCCCAAACACTGTTATCTCCTCTCTCTGGTGATTAAAGCCTTCTGGGGGAAGGCAGCAGGAGACACTGGCCAGTGAGGTGGGGGGGCTTGGAGGATGTCCCCCCTGGTTCACAATGGGGATGGAGGAGAGGGAGCCGAGGGAGATCGATGCCTAGTACCTTACTCCAAGTTGGGATGTACTTTCCTCTTTCGTACGGAAATAAGACTGTGATAGTGATAAGTTGATCAATCCTACTTAACTCACAATAATGTAGCTAGAACGAATGTCCATGTTATGAACCAAATGACTATCTGTGGACATCCCTAGATCTGTAATCATCATTGTCAGCACTGTCTCTGTGACAAATTGTGACCCAAGTTCCCAACGACCCGATTTGGGAACGAGGCCCCTTTGTGAAGCTGGGAGCCTACTTGTGCCTTGTCCAGCTCAAGACCCCAGATGCTGAAGGGTTCTATCACCTCTCCTCTTTGGAAAAGACATGACTGTGAAGGGGAGGTGTTCTTTTTGCACACAGGCTCACCTCCAAAGACCTGGCTTTCCCTTTTAAGTGATTACCGTTCCCCCTGTAGCCCTTCAAGAGCATGTATGTCACCCTGCCAAGCTCCCGGGCAATGTAGAGTCACCGTGACCGGATGCAAGGGCTGCACAGAGCTTTGGGTTTGGGAGGTTTTATTTCTGCAAATGTAACCAGGAGCTCGGACATTCTATACACTATCCACTAATCCTCCTTAATCACCAGGGAGAAAACCAGGGTAGCGGCTGGCCCCTTGCCACTTTTACTCCCATAGCCTTAGAACAATGCTGGAGTGTAATAACCTTGCATTCTGTCCCTTGGCCTGAACTATTTTATGGAACACCAAAGCAGCTTAGTAAATACTAAAAATGAAAGCAAACCTTGGTTCAGTTTACTGTTAGGAGAGCCAGGGAGGTAAGCTTTGATGTTGTTTTCTAAACAGCAGGAAGGGCTGACATGTGTCCAGGAATCTTAATAGCATTACAACTATTTAAGTCAGAGCTTGACTGAACTGTTTGCAAATCTTATAATCCCCATCATTCCTGAAATGAACAAACTTCATGTAACCAAGGCATAAACATCAGACTGTAGGGCACACATGACCAGAAATATCCATCACTAGCTTCTCTTCCAGAGGTTTATTTTCAGCGCTTCTCCAGCCCTTCTCTTCCTCCTATGAGGGACCCAAGGCTCCATCTAAATTTTACATTTATTGTTACGGCTATTCAGTTAGTTCCTGTTGAGCCAGTAGACAGAGGATGGAGGCTGCTTCCTTTACCTGGCTGCAGGCCCCGCACCTAATGCAGCGCTCAATAAATACTGATTCAACGAATAGTGAAACTGTTAATATTTGATCCCCTTTCTCCCATCTGGGAGAAGTCCTAAACTATTTGGTCTAAAAACAGTTTGGTCCTAAACTATTTTTTCCTTTTTTTCTCTTCCTCACCACAATGTTTCTGCCCCATGCTCCATTCCTCGGGGCCCTGCCGAGTGAGTTCATAATCTATTAAATTATGATAAAATTTGAGAGGTAATGAGCAATGTTATTGAGAAGGCCCTTCTTACATAGAATTTTAAAGAGGAGGTTTCAAATTTTTAATTCAAATGGAAAACTCACAAATTTCAGACACTATGATCCTGAAGGCATTTTGGAGTGTGATGGGGGACGTTTTCTTTGCCCCTAAATTCATTCTTCCTATACATAGGTTTGGGCAGCCTCCATGATGTTCCTTACAATTAAAGCGATAAGAAATCTTTACTCAAAGATTATATACGATCATTTTCTAAAGACTCTCGGCATTGGTGAGGTCTGTGCTAGGCTCAAGTTCAAGTGATCCTCATGGCTGATAAACAGCGATCAATGGCAAGTTCAGTGAACGATGTGCAAAGGGGCAAATGTGATCATCATGGACTCCTTAGAACAAGGAAGTTGCCTTTTGGTTATTCTTTTCTTTCCTTCTTCCTAAACTACTCCAAAGAGAAGGGTAACTCTCCCCGTCCACAAAACGGGATTCAGAGAGGAGGCACCATAATGAATTCCACTTGACAGGGATGCAGCTCTCAGGTCAGAAGCTTTCTCTTTTGTATGCTTCAAATCTCCTTTGCTGAATTTTGAAATAGAGGGAATTAATATTACATAAAACTGTTAATTAAAAATGAACAATTAAATAGAAATCTGGATATGTAAATTACTGGACTTGAAACAGATTGTTTTTATAATAATTGGCTGGATGAGAGCAGTTGTTTTTAATTAACTTTAAAAATTGGCCAACATTGGGTACTTAGGTTGATAATTGTTCTTGGATAAAATATTTTGAAGGCTGGCCACACAGTGTTGATTCAGCAAGTATTCAACACCAGGCCTAGAGACACAAAGGTGAATGAAACACACCCTTTCTCCTAGAGCTGCTCCCAGCCTGGTGGGAGAGATGGCGCCAGCCACCTGTCACTCAGTGCAGCAAGTGCCTACGGAGCCAGACACAGGCACAGGGGGTGGGAGGAGCAGCTGAGGACCTGACACTTGAGCTGATCCAAAGCTCTCATTCGATGAGCAAGTTCCTTAAGATCTTGCTGAAATTTCAAAAGGCATTTTCTCCACCAGCCCCCATGAACTTTAGACCAGTGATTCTCAACTGGGGGGGGACTCCTGGCAATGTCTGGGGACATTTTTCGTTGTTACAACTGAGGGGGTGCTACTGGCATCTAGCGAGTGGGGTTCAGGTTTGCTGCTAGACATCCTACAAGGCACAGAACAACCCCTCAAAACAAGGAATTATCGGTCTCAAATATTAATAGTGCTTTGGGTGAGAAGTCCTACTTCAGACGGCCTACTTTGGGCAGCTAAGCTGTTGTCCATCCAAGGAGGAGGATAATGACATATATATTTGAACACTTATCCCCTACACGGTGATCCCCCTGGAGTCAGGGAATGCGCCTTGCTTACTTCTGTAGCCTCAGAGCCCAGCCCAGCCCTTTGGTGGAATGCATGAATATACAGATATATGGATGCAAGGATACTGGCTGGAGCAGGGTCCTCCAGTCTCAGCCAG